GCCTTCCAGGACCCAGTCAGATTCCATGCTGGTGGCTGGGAGGGTAAACCCTTCACCCTCACACACAAAGCCACATCTGGAGACAAACCGCGGATCCAAGCGTCGGAGCCCAGGAGCCAACTGGTCCAGGCACCAGGCCACCATGACACCATGGCCGGCCCGCACACGTAGTTCTGCGGCAGAACCGAAGTCTCTCAAAGCTCTGAGGCTCTGAGTGCTTTGGGCAATAAAGAACACCAACCGCAAAACAAGCCCTCCAAGAAAGGCGCCTTCTGGGTGAGGCCATAAATTTCCAACGGCCAATTGGGAACGGACCTTCTTTGCGTGGCTGAAAGGGAAAGGACTACTACCACCGTCGGCTTGCGCATGAAAGGACAACCCCCCTAAGCATAAAGCAAATGACCAAGCTATGTGGCTATGTGGTTGCTTTATCTGCTTATAATCAGAGAATCAACCGCACCTCCTGGAAAACATCCAGTTGCTTAAAATGCCTGGAAAGTCGAAGGCACATGGATTCGGCCACTCTCAGTGCGGAATCAAACCGGAGTGAGCATGATAACTAGCCGCTGGCTGCGCTTACCCCAATTCCTACTGAGAAGCAATGACACGCCGCCCAGGGATTTTCGGTCAACATGTCAAACCAGAAAGGAAGATCGGAGTTCAAGAACCCCGGATTTCTTAAAGAGCTGACTGCCGTTTTGCGCGCACACACACACACACACACATGGGCTTGCACCTTGCTGCCAAATCTTCGTTGCCACATCCTCTCGTGGGAAACATCATCTTGCACGTAGCTAGTCAACCGACAGAACAAACATGGTGGGCAGTGGACATCTTCAACTCAGAAACAGTGAAATTCGAGTAACTTGAGTACTTCCCCTGAGCCCAGAAATGGCCAATCGATCCAGCGCCAGTTTGCGGTGGTCAAATTTCTCAAACTTCAGCGTTTGGAACCGCAATATGCTCAGCGTGCGTCCAGGACAATTGTTTTCTCAGTCTCAAAGTCTAAGTCCTTTTCTCAACTCCTTCTACTGACTAGAAGTATGCAAGAAGCATTCTATCTCAAGGTAGAGTTGTGTGGGGATGTGTGAAAGAAAGACCAAATGGAGACCACCCATTTGAGGGTTTTCACCTATTCGGACACGTCGGCCGCCTGAGCGCTTCCGGTGATCCGTAATGCCATAGTTTGCCGTGCCTCCGGATGTTTCATGGGGCACTGGATCGCGTGGGCGCCCACAGAAGACTTCAACCAGGCTGCAGCCTTCTGCCTCAGTGTCTGTTGGGAACTCAAAGCGTCCCTCAAAGGCAAAATCCAACAGCTTTCATAGGCAAGGACTTGATGGTTGAGTTGGGTTTTTGGTCGGCTTGACATCACATCGCAGCACTTTCAGTCCATTGGAACGTGCCCGCCTCATGTGGCGTCAGGAGGAGTTCGTGATAGTGCGTGTGTCGCATTGCGCACGCACTGTCTGCACAAAGGTCTCAATCACTGTGTGCACCCTTGGAAAGCATCATGACCGGAGTCAGCCGCGATAGACCTGCACTGTACCAACACTTGGCGGCTGAATTGTGCGAAGTGAAGTCAAGGAAAAAAGGGGAAGGCAAAGTCATGAAGCGCCGACTCAGTACGTCTTGTTCAAGCCGTGCAGCGGGGTCTGCAATGCCAAAGGCATCACTTCCTGGCACCATGCAGTCACGCAGGTGTGCAGCTTTGATGGTGTCTGCTGCTAGCTTCTAAGCATTCATGTCACAACCAAGCCATCATGTCTTGAACATTGCTCAGCATCTTGCGGTGCCAAGCTACTGTGGCTAGTCACGCGGTATGACGTCTCAAGGCAGCTGTACCGGTACTCAACTACCTCGCTACAAGCTGCCTTGATTAAGGGACACCGGGACACCAAGTATTCTCGCAAAGGCGGCAACATGTTGCCAATAAATTAGCAGAATGCCAAATGTGGTTTACCCACATGCATCGCTTGTGTAGAACTCAATTTGGAACCAAACCAGTGTACAGGATTCATATCACAAGGGCGCCCTCCATGATTCACCTCTATGCCACCGCAGGAATACACTGTGTCCAAGAGAATAGGACCCACGAAGACCGTGGAATGCTTGCAGAAAGATCTAGTCGCCGCCTCCTTCTCAATTCGCCACCTTCTAGCCTCTAGTTCTCAAAACAATGCGTGCCGCACATGTTGTGATTCCTGCAAAGGAGGCACGGCTTGAAGCTGTTCGATTTTGTGCATGTTGAATTCTTCAACAGCCGGACTATCCATGGTAGTGTCAGGCGGGGCCACATGTTGTCTGTTGTCTGCCTAGGCAACACCGCAGTCAAAGCGATTATCCATGAGATTGTCCCAGCTGTTCTTTGTTTATTTATTGCCTCCCTTGCAATCATGAGATGCTCTCTACACAGGCTCCTCATGAACATCCGGCACGGACACGTTCAAGATGATCGCATACTCCTGCCGCAGCTTTAGCCATGTGCAGCAATGACTCGAACAACGCAGTTGAAGAGACATTCAGAGACAGATCAAACACCCTGAAGCCAATCATGATACCAAACACAACCAGGGCCACTCGCCACGCCCAAACATCACATCCACAAAAGGCCTTGCACACAACCATGCCTCATGAAGCATGCCTGACGCCGGTACGTGCCGTCTCGGGTAGGCCGGCCCAGGCCTCTAGGCTGTCGTCCCTTTCAGGTGCCACCGTGGCATTGACGGCCTCGGCAAACTAAGAAGCACGGTCAGGACTTCAGCAAGTTGCTCATTAACCCGAACTATCAATCTGTCGCAGCGGGCAAAGATGCCAACAGGCCAGAACAGCATAAGTCACTCTGAACCAGTGACATGCACAGGACCACATCCAAGTCTTTTGCCAGAAACAACTTGAGCAGTGCAATCCAAGCTCCCGTCACCTGGTCGCAACCCCCCCCCCTCCCTGACATGCTGGCTGCAAAGGCTTGCAGCATACAATGCACATGTAGGTGTGAAAACTGGGCAACCGTGGTTTTAAGCGCCCAATGAGGGCAGTGAGGTAAACGGTATTAGTTCCCTGCAGAACGCCCACCGACGAATCCCACGAAGCGCTACTTCCACCGAGCGGCGCATTTCCGAGTGTCTTCGTTGACCACAGCTGTGCCCGGGCACAGGCAACGCATCAGCGGCGCGCTTTTGGAGAATTCCTGGGCCCGGCGAAGAGCAAAGTGCGAATTCTAACATCCACTCAAAAAAGATAATCACTCCCTAAGACACCCTCAGTTGCTCCTTGACCCTGTTGTTGAGCTTCCTTGCAATGAGCTCATAAACATCATTGGTGATTGACACCAGCGTGATTGTAGCCCTGCGACTCAAGAAAATCACAACACCGGACCTCAGGACTGTAAAGACAGCTGTGAATTTGCAACAAAATTTGGCAGGGCATGCTACTCAGCAGTAGCATCAATATGTGGAACTGTTCAATCTACCCCAAAGAAGGCAACTGGCCTGCGAATTGGTTGTGCCTTAGTCCTGAATGAGAAACACTTAGGCAAAATACCCAAGATATCTGGGGAATGCACAAACCACATCAACCCACACCATGATGCATGCACGCTTGTGGCAGAAACCTTCGAAGAAATGGGAGAATCCCAGAAACACTGCAGGGGATTCGTCCCTTTGAAAAGACATTGTAGGATTGCCAGCGCATGCCACATAGGCGATCTGGTTGGCGTTCACAACAGCACTGGGGGTCGCTTACGCTCGACATGCAGTTTTGTCAAAAAGCCCCTGTCAATTATTATCCTTGATTCTGAATGGCCACCAAGCAGTGCTATTCCACAACCAGTGGTGCTGCAATCTGTTCGACCCAGTTGATTGAGCCACTGGTCAGTACACAGTCGACAATGTCCAGTGCCCAGATCTTCTAGAGAGTGGAACCAAAGAGCGCTGATAGGCGTTTCTATGCTGGCAATTTGCTTACGTTCATTGCTTGCCTACGTACCCTCTTGGATATTTGCTGCAACACATACACCAATGCCTTCTGTGTTGCTCATCACCGAAATCAGGTGACTCCCTACAGTTCTACTACAGTGCACATGGCTCAACTGTAACTTTAGATTGCCTCAACGACTGGCTGCGTGACATGTTTGATGTTGCCCAACTCAAGCCAAATCATTGCATTCATGACAATTCAAACACATACCTAGAACATTCAGAGCATGCCAAATGATTCGATCAGGCTGACCCAGTTTCGGCACTGCAGCACTTCTTCCATGCGATTTATACACCCACCTCGGCATGGTTTCCCTTCACACATTTTCAAGACAGTCATTGCAAACAAACTGTGCTGCTGCAACCCAACCCCGCACATCGCAAGACAATATCCTTCAATTTTTGGACAACGTCTTTCGGGAACCCTCAGATTCGGGGCTCGCGACCGGAAGCTTCCGATTCGTCACGCCAAGGCTCGCAAATCTCCACTCCGGTGATGTCCAGGATGCAAGTCGCTCCTTATCCCAAGCGACTTACAGTCCCTGCCCATCACTCTTTGATCGAGGCTCATGTCCTTTCAGGCTGATCACTTCAACTGCTGATTAGCATCAGTGGGGCATTCACTGTTATCAGAAAGTAGAGACCACCTGTGAAACTAGTATAATATGCTGTACTTGTGTGAAACCAAGGGGTCACATAACAAGCGGTTTGCACACAAGGACGCTTCGCCGCTCAAAAAAGGAATGGTTCTGCATCGTCCTGTGTAATCCCTTCCCCCTTTTAATGAATAGACCGTATTAATACATACTATTTTTGCATACTGGCTAAAACAGCCTGGTCCCCAATACCACTTTTAGAATAGCCCAATTCAAAACCAATACTAAACTGTCTCTCCGCCCAGACCAGCCCCAGCCTTGTTTGGGGGCTCTTTGCATCAACCCAATACCACATTCTAAATGCATACTTGCCTTGTACTCATTTACAGTTTTTTTTGATTTCTACTTCTAAGCTTAAACTGCGCCCTTTACTTTTGATTTGCCAACAGGGGGGGGGAAACAGCCTTGAACGGTGTTGTTTAAAATCGCTACTCGGGGGAAAAAACAAACACATGGTGTTGAGGTTTTTCGTGTCTGGAGCCCATTTGGACGAGGAGCGAAGAGGAAATCCGGTCGACCCCACAGGACCCAATTAATAAGTATGTTTTGTCTCGTAGAGAGTATTCATTATGGGGGAGGAGGGGGTCCGCGTTTATTCTTAGGGGGAAGGGATTACCATTCATTTGAGACAGCATGCGCTAACTCTGCAATGATTGGGGACCAAGGTTGTCACGACTTCCAAGTGGAATAGTTGTCAAAACTGGACACCGTCAAAACCGAGTTGATTGCCATGCTTCAAGTTTTTCCCAATGCCGAGCGACGCTCATTGATTGGCTGCTGGAATCTTCGACACGACCCCTTGACGCTCTGATGTCACCCTTTGATTCGTGGGAACAGGACTTCCAAACCCCCAAATGTGGTCTTGAGAACACCCCCGCAGGCTTCCGAGGCACGGGTGAAGCAAGAATCCAGGTCAAGCTGAGATTGAAAGGTGCAGAAGGCATCATAGGTACCGTGTCCAAGCCTGCCGGGATGGGCTTATCCTTTCCAAGCGAATGATGCACGACTGATACTGCCAAACCATGCCAGCTGCGTGTCCTCAAGCTCATCACATGCAAGATCGTGGCCTCTGGCACAAGTGTAAGTCAGGGTATCTCGTACTTCAGTCTATAGTATAAAACATGGGAGCTTGCGAACAACTTATCTTCAAACAGGGTCCCTGAAATTGGCTTTTTTGGGGTTACCAAGTGGTCACTACAAAATGCCACTTTAGCTAGGAATCCAATGTCACTACGTCGCGGCCACCCGTGAAATCCAAGTGTCATTTTGTAGGCGAGTTGGCTCTCAATCCTACCAGTATTCTATGGATTGGACACCCATTCTATAGGGAAAATATAGTTGCCAAACAATCCACACCAACACAAAACCATAAGCAGCAGCCCCGTTTTGACTGCCAGCATCCACTGTCCAAAATCTAACTGCTGGGGACGTAGTCTGCCAACAGCTTAAGCAGCTGAAGCCAACTCAAATGCCCCACTGTAGAGCTATTTGCATCTATTTTGGACCAACTCAAACTCAGTGGCACGTGCGCCCCAATGATTTGCAACAAACACATACACACACAAACATTCACAAATTCGTCTTGTTTTGTAATGTGTGTGTGACCGGCTCTTGGCATTCTGCAGTTCAACGATGGCCTGCGCACCAGAGAGAGATACAACAAAACCGCAACATCGTACAGCATCTGACAACGAGATGTTTTTTCCAGAAGTACCCTGAGAATGGATTCCCTTGCCCGAATCCTAACGAGCTTTGCTTAGGTCCCTCATTGCCCCACATAGCCTTGAAGTTCTTGATGGTCATTCCAAAAGTCGGCCAGCAACCCTGTAAACAACATCTGTCAACTCCTGGTATTTCACTGACTGCAGTGCACAGTGTCCATCCGGCATGCGCCAAGACAATGGCAAAGCAAACCACCGCCAGATTTGAACACCATCTTCAGCCCACATGGTCTCCCTAAACATCCTACGCCACTGACCGTTTCCATTGGTGCAGTCAGCATCTCGGGGACTCTTGCCAACCCAACTGCTGTCAAGCTGCACCATCAGTGCCCAGCCAATGTACCTTGGTCAAAGTGACACACTTCCAGATACCTCAGCTTCAGACTGAGGACCATGATAGCTCAGTATCGAATCTGTCCCATGGGTAAGTTCAACCGCAAGGGGAGCACTTGTTCAACCCGCACAATACACAGTGTCACTCTCTTTGGCTGAGGTTTATCACAGCTTTAGAGCTCCTCTCATGCTAGTCACTCTTTGTCGTCCCCAATGTCGTTCACACAAATAGTAAACATCGGTCATGCCGATAGCTATCACTCGGCCCAAACTCTGCAACTGAAAGTAGCCTTAAATGGGTTGCTTCAGTTTCCTTCTTTTTGAAACCGTCCCTTTTTGTTTGACAATAAGATTTGCTTGGTATTTGCTAGAACGGCCTCAGCTAAATCACGTTGAATTCCATGATTGACATAAGCGCCCTCGAGCTCGGTGCTTCCCATCCCGCATCTGGCTTACCCCCAAAACACATCCACCCACGTATTTTACCGAATGATCAGAAATAAAAAGGTGACCTTTTGGGCTGCCCCTGAACATAGACCAAGGGGGACTGATTCGCTGTGGGCAACTGAGACTGTGATTATCCTCATTGATTCCTTGAGTCTTGAATGAAAGGCCTTTGGATCTCCACTAACCTTTGGGAGGTGTTCGTTGAAGCATCCACGGACATCAGATGGAAAAACACTGGTGCTCTGTGGCATGGATACTTCAACCATGGTAGACATTGATTGGGGCTGGGCAAACGGACATCATTCGATTCAAAGGCACGTTGTCATTGAGAAAGAACGCCAGTTGTTCGAACAATCATAACTCATCTGCACAAATCCCTCCGGCTCACTCAGCTTGTGTTGAGTTTACCTCTCAGGCAACGGACATAGCCATGAATTTAATTTCATGCACAGCTTCTTCCAGATCACAAAGGAATAGCTGGTTTTGCTCATTTCTTACAAGTCTGCAAGGCTGGATTGGAAAGCTGTTGGCCCAAGGTTCTTGACGAATTTTGGCTTGCCCGGGGAGAACATGCTGATTGCCAGGAAGAACGCGCAGGTGCCTGACCGCACCAAGAGACGATCAAAGCGGTAAGCCCTCTGCGCAACTGCGTCACATGTAATCCGTGTGCACGTGAAGATCGATTCTGGTTTAGGGTGAGTTTTGGCTGGTTTCGGATTGGCATATGGTGAGGGGTTTGTAGGTAGTTGGGCTTGGCTTATACAGCGTACAGCGTAGCAGCCCCTTGGCACGGGCTGTGGGCGCTGGGTGGCGCTGCTAGGGGTTGTCCAGCACCCGGTTCTGACACGAATGATATGAGTGAAAGCACCCACAGTTGAGCCAAGGTGTGGAACTTGGAAAACCACTCCGAGGGAGCAACACTGTACGAGTGTTCTTCGCCGGTCCCAGCTTTTTTCTTTTCTCTTTTTTCGTGACCTCCTAGCGAGTCCCAAACTGCAACGAGTAGTTTTTAGCCAAGCAAAGACACATTTCTTGTTTTCTGGGCATTTATTGAATTGCATCGAATTGCCGCCCTGAATTTAAGCCGATGCTTTCCACCGCGAGAAAGCCGCTGGTGGAGGTGCGAGCCTGCCTTCAAAGACTTGCAGGCCCAAACCCTGTAGGAGCACATTACGCTGGATGTTCTTGGCTGGGTCCCAGGTGCTTGGTCCGGGACCACGCCTACGAGGCTGGCTGCCAGCAGCAAGATTGCTCAGAAAGCCTGGAACTCAACACTTGACTGCTTCGTGCTCTTTGCCGATGTGCCCAGTGCGGCCCACGAAAAGGGCAATGAACTTCTTCTGGTCCCTTCTCAGCCTCTTGGGAATATTTGGCGGGGTTGGCGAACTGCCAGCACAGGTCGGCCAGAACGCCAGACATAAATATTAGATGTTCTTTGAAGTGCTTTGGCATATATAGTCCTGGCTGGATATTTACAAAGGGCTGGACAACGAACACAGAAAGCTGATGCTTGTGAAGATATCTCGGACCCCTAATTCGTTACATCAATTTGACAGCCTCATTCCTTGGGTGGAGTGGTCGATGGGCTTTTGTGGTTCTCAGCACGGAATTCAATCGAATCAAGTGCTCATGCGATGTTGCACTGCATATCTTTGCGCACATTGTTCCACTCCAGTTTGCTGTTCCTGAAATTGCACTTCGCGTCGCACTTATATATTACCGACCACAGCATAGCACGGCACCACAACCAACTGCCATGCTTTCAACATGCAATATGTGTGGCTGCGTCAACTTCCCTGCTGACCCCCTAGATTCAACTGCGGAACTTCACCCATTGAGCATGGTGTTGAGCACAGGGCCCTTCCCCATCTCAACTAAAAGCTGGAGTTGTCCTTAGGGAAACCATGGCATGCAGGCTGACAATGTTTAAGCCACCCCCCTCCCCCCCCCCTCGGCCTGTCATTGCTATGTGCAGCATGGCCGTAAAGACCCGCACCGAGGCCGGCCCAATGTCGCCAGTGGCTTTGACCAGGCCCGACAACTGGCAGATAAGTGGATCACAAGAGGATGTGTGCATTCTGTGAGCAGCAAGGGGGCTCGTGTTCGTTTGAAACAGGCCGCTAGTCATTCAATATTCGTCGTTCAGCCAAGACTCACTAACAGTCACTAACACAAGCATCCCTATCATTCAAGATTGTCGGCGGGACCAAGATCGGCCCAGACCTATTGCTCTTCTTCTGGGGCTAGGTTTCTTTCTTTTTCGGGTAGGGGGGGGAATGGCGCTCACGCCAGAGAGCATCTCTTTTGGCTAACTTGCTGCAGAAGGTATGGCTCATCGAACGAAGTGTTTAGACAAACATTCCATGGTACTTGAGCTTCGCTGTCGCTTCGAACTTGGAACTGCGTTCGTTGTAAGCGATTAAAAACACAGCAACAGCAACAGCAACAGCAACAGCAACAGCAACAGGAACAGCAACACAACAGCAACAGCAACAGCAACAGCAACAGCAACAACAACAACAACAACAACAACAACAACAACAACAACAACAACAACAACAACAACCACAACCCCAACCACAACCACCACCACCAGCACCACCACCACCACCACGACGACGACGACGACGACGACGACGACGACAACAACAACAACAACAACAACAACAACAAGGCAACGGCTGCGTTCGCCGCCGTGGAACTGTCAAAAAGCGTCTGTCAAAAAGCGTGGAACTGTCAAAAAAATGTGTTTTGAACACGTGGCCCATCTTTTGAAGAAAGGGGCCTTTTCAAGCGTTTTTTTGGAATCCTGGTCTACTTGTTCTGCCCCTTTTTCATCGCCGTGACCTACTCCACTAACATCTGT